AATTTGTAAAAAAAAAAAAAAAAAAAAAAAAAAGGCCAAAGCAAATAATTAAAAGATTTAGAGGCTCTGAACTTAGTAGACAAGCCATGCTTGACTTATTATATAACAAGTATAATACTTGCCCAACCATATTAGTTCTTAAATTAAAAATGGAATAAAGCATCAAATCAAAGTGTCAGGATGGGTTGAGCAATGATTTGTGTGTAGAAAAAATACTTTATCCCCCCCCCCGGAAAATTGTAGGTAAAAAGTGTGAGGTAACTACCTATAAAGGTTAAAAATAAATTGCATATTTTTTTAAATATTACAAAACATATATAATTTGTCCATAGAACAAATTGAAAAACTTCCTAATATTCTTAGTAATAATATTTTATCGATAATTGCACCTTAAAATAAGCATAAATAAGCATAAAAATATCATAAGCACCAAACATGGAATGGTGAAACTAATGGACCTTGTTGCCATCAATAACATGACAGTGTCTCCTATTAATAATAATTATTATAATCTCACTTTTATACACATTGTTGGGTTTATAGCAATTACAAAATATACAATTATGTCCTGACACTGCTCCCAGATACATTTTTTCATGGTCTTTTCCAAATAGTTAAAATTATCTAAATAAATTTGCTCAATAGAGCAAGATCTTGCAAACTATAACACAGAAGATATAACAAATATGAATGTAACTGCAAGCAAGAATACATTCTTACTTCAAGACATAATAGACAGCCCTAGATACCTTAGTCCTATGGGCCATGGTTAATATACTGGGGGGTACAATTTAACAACTGTGACCCAGTACACACAATCTTTTTTCAGCTATTTATATGTATTTATTAATTTGAAGGAAATCTATCAGCTATAATTAACATTAAATTCATTTATATATTGGAAAGAGTAATAATACAATTTTTTCAAAGACATTATATTAGGACAATAGTTAAAATGAATTGCGCAAGTTCCTATGGCCAGGCTGCTCTCTGACCAAACTTTTTCACTTTTATAACAGGCTATACTACAGACCCCTGTGATATCAGAAGATTATTAAATTGGCCATGTTAAAATTGTTTTTCTACTTTTAAAGTGAGATTCAGAGAACTGTCTATAATAAGATAGATATTATAGCAAATGTCATGTGTTATTAAGAAATTCATTTTTACAGCCAGCCAGAATAATCCTTTCCAAAGTTATTATTTAAAAATCTTTAAATAATATAAAAGATCTATCAAATATTAACTTGACCACCAGAAGTTCAGGCCTACCCAACTACCAGACTCTGCACCAAATGATCCTGAATTCACCTGTAGATCAGACCACACTACCCGTTTTCAAGGTGTGTGTCAGATCACATTACACAGTATCAGATGCAACACCACTCTTGCCTAGTACAGGATGTGATAGTGACGATTCTCAGCAGGGTTGAAAAGCATTGCATCACCACTCAAAATTTGTTCAGGGTATGATACTGTGTAAGCGATCTGACACACACCTTGAAAACGGGTAGTGTGGTCTGATCTACCGGTGAATTCAGGATCATTCGGTGCCGAGTCTGGTAGTGGGTAGGCCTGAAGTTTGACTTCTTGTGTGAAAACAAAAGAAAAAGAGAGTACTGGAAATCTGAGCATTTTACATGACAGTTATTTCTGAATCCAGCTTAAAAAAAGGGATAATGGTTGTTAAAGTACTGTAAACAAATTATGTTAGCATCCATTCATTATTTCAAATTACAACAGTGGTATAGTGATCATAAAAACATTCCTATGTTACAGCAACAGATCACTAATGGGCCTTGTGACAGCATAATCAATTTTACTGTGTCTAACACTTCATTTATTCATGTACTCTCTCTTTGCAGATGTCTGTCTTATTAAATGAGAGTATTAAATTCTAATATATTGCCAATCATAATCTAATCCTTATGAAAGTAAAATAAATTCATCCTGGGTCCATCATCTATCTACAAAGAAAAATATGAAACAAAAATCTCAAAAATTGTGGCTTTAACGCCAGACAAAAAATTGACTACAAAAAACTAGCAGACAAATATACTTGCAAAGTTTTTTTTTTTTTTAAATAAAGATTACATCAAAATAATTGCAACTGCAAGAATGCATAAGTTTAAGATATAACCTTGTTCTCTTTTTCAGCAAAAGCTTTAAACTATTTTTACTTATAATAATAATTATAATTATAATAATTATAATAACAATAATTCTTTAGTTGTTTATGGGTTCAAATTTTAAATCTTATCAATATTATTAGAAATAATATTTCACCTATAAATACACTGTTAATTTAATATCACAAGCATGAAAACATGGAATGATGACACTGACTCTGTTACCATAAATAACATGTCGAGCTGTTCCCTTTCCCTATCCCTGGATATCATGACCAAATCTCTAGTTTTTCCCTCTACTATGTTTATAAATGTACTATGAATTTGCTCTATATAAGCAGAAATGCTGCCCCATGAATATCAAATTGTAAGCCATCGATATCAATCCAAGTAGTAGTTTTCCTGGATTTCCAAACACCTCACTTAAGTCATCTGAAAGATAAAAATTAGATCTTTAATACACTAATAATTCACGATAATTTACAAACAACACAGTAAAACTGTATGACAAACTACTATATACATTCATATGCATTTAGGGGACCAAGCCTAAGATTTTAAACACAGGTTTTTACTTTAAAAAAAAATTCTTATGAACTATGAAAGAATAACTAATACTTTTTGATAATTTCTTAACAGATGAATGCCATGAATTAATGGGGTCAAAAATATTCTAATAAATCATCTCCTGGCAAACCAACACCTATTAATTATTTTGACCCATTTTTAGGACTGCATACAACCGGGCAATCACTGCATGAAGGGATGGTGGAGTTTGAAGGGCTTTTTATTTTCCAAGATTGTTACATAGATATGGTGGGTGTCAGGAAAGGGGGTTTAAAGATGGGTTAGTCAGAGGAAAACCCCATTTACATCAGGAAAGCATGAGTTTTTAGTGAGGAAATCTTATGCTGGGCATCTTTAAGAACAATATACTCACAAAAGATTCTCTTAAATGACAGATTTTAGAAATGAAATCTTGCTCACCATTATCAAAAGCATCTATAAACATCTGTGAATTATTAGCTGCACTGCCAGCGAAGTCCATAATGACTGCTGTTACATTGAAACCTTTTGTACTTTTCCGTTTATAGTTCAGGTATACCTAAAAACAGTAAAGTAATTTTTTATCTCTATCTTTTCATGTTTATATTGAAAATGACAAACTGAAAAGAATTTATGTATTTTTTTTAATGCACGGAAATGTGTACTAAAACTTCAAACTTAATTGCAACCTTGGTAATGTGAAGTTTGTCCAATAATTCAAACAGTCCTTTTTGTGGTAAATCTTTCACTTATGAAGTGATACTGTCCAAATTTACTGTTAAATTAATAATTGGGGTCAAATTGGTCCAGTAAATCTTCTCGCATCATTTTCAACATTTATTGCACTGTTTTAATGAAAAGTTTGAATTGGCAATTGTTCACGGGAGCAGACAATACAGGTTCATTGGGTTTGAATGAAAAGACCTCTTGGCCAGGAAAATGTCCACTCTGAATCAAATTTTGATCTAGGTTCTATGGTACTAAAAAGGTTAACTTCTCAGACCCCCACTCCCATCCCTTTGAAATTGCTCGCTAACAATATTCTGAATTTTTCAAGTTTACACTTGGCAATACCTTCTAATTTTTGACCGTGTCAGAAATTTACTGTCAGAAATGGTATTCCCCTTTTACGTACCTGAGGTGCATATTTCACAACAGTGACTAAAATTTTGATATAGGACAACAAGTAAAAGAACTGTAACCAAGGAATGCCTCCAAGAAAGCTTTGTAAGAATCCAAAGGCAATCCATAGCATCATGCCACCTGGAAAAGAAATAACTTATTACTATCAGCACGCTGTATATGCACCTGTTTTAGATTGGAAATATCATAGGATGACTTTTTCTTGGCATAACCTGGTCATTTAAGAGAAAGTGCAAGAACATCTGAGTTGGAATCATACAAAAAACCGCAGATACCTTCAATATAGTCACCACAAATAATAATGAATAAACAGTGTGCGTGAGATCAAAGATCCTCCAAGTGACAACAAACTGACCTTCTGAAAAAGGAAGATCCCAATTCCCTCAATTTTATCATTTCCTAACAGTTCAACAAAACTTGCAATGCTTTCATAAAGGTATTTGCATAGGAAGCAGTGTTTGAAAACGTTACATTTTGATTTAAAGCAATTTTACTCAAAGTGACAAAGTGCAGGATTAAACAAAGTACATCTTTTTTTTCTGGTAAATATTCAGTGGCACAAAAGGTCTCTCATGTCTTGTTAACCATAATCTAAGACCCCTTTTCCAATGACACTGTTGGTTTAAGTCTGTAGATCAATATGTCTCTGTGGGGACTATTGCTGAGTGCGATCAGTTTAACTTGGTATTAATTAAATGACACACCCCCTCCTGGTGTTAAGTAAAATACAGAAAGGCTAGTGATTATACTAGTGCCTTAGACCCCATTCCCAGCGATTAGATCGATCTACTTTAGATCAACCTAACTCCCTGGGGGTTCACGCTAAATAGCTGTCAGCCGAGTGGGCACAAAAGTTAATTACCTCCTTACAGCTTGTAGCAGGCAGGACGGACATCTAAGCCGGATTATCTGACAGTAATCTAGTGAGACTCCCCGCGGGGATAGATCGATCTAAAAGCTCTGGGAATAGGCCCTTAGAAACAAGAGGAGGCATGTCAGTAAAGGTTATTGCACTCAGTAAGAGTCCCTGCAGAGCTGGATCAATCTAATTAGACTGATGGTGTTTAATATGGGAACGGGACCCAAGACATGGGAGCTGCTACCCTGTATCATGGATGGCCTGGAGTGGCTTGAATTCACAAAAACCGCATAACTTACAGTTAAAAAATCCATTCAGGTGGGTTTTCGAGCTTGAACTATATTTCATACCTAAGAATCATTCTTGTTAGTTTGAGGATAAATAACATGGGTTTTCCCTTCATGGTATTGCCAGTGACAGTGTACAAAACAGGGTTTTTGTTATTTTAATGCAATATTACATATGATGGATATATTTATAGACACACTATGTCTATAAATACAAATGTTCAAAAGAATAAATAAATGAATAAATAGCAATTTCAAAAGAATGTACTACATATTATCCTAGAGATCTTCTCAACTTACTTTAGGTCCAAGATTGATCAAAACTCACTGATGATTACTCACCATCTTCTTTTACCATCTTAGGGCTCATTCCCAATGAAACTATTGTTCCACATAGATTGTTCCAACTCTGCAGACTCTTGGTGAACGCAATCAGTTGAACTGATTGACACATTCATTCACTCTGACATTGAGAATACAGAAAAGCTGGTGATTACGCAAGTATGTTGGAAACAAGAGGTGTGTTAATCTGTTAATCAGATTGTATTCAGTGAGAGTCCCTGGGGAGTTTGATCAATCTTTGTAGAATGACAGTTTCATTGGGGATAAACCCCTATAAATTACTTAAAAAATACAGATTGATTGCATCTTTAAAAATCTAGAAGCTTATTCTTATAATTCTATCCAATGAATTCATAACTTTGTATCAGTTTATAAAATAAAGAATTTACCTTGTAAAAGTAATGTTTTCCATGAGAGTTTTTGTCCTCCCCTGTCATAAATATGAAATTGTATGATGAAAATGATCATTATGATCACAGCATGAGTAGAATAGAGCACATCATTCACTTTCACAGGTATATCTCCTTTAGGATGCAAAAGAAGGTATTCATGCTGAAAGGAAAAAATATAACCTTCTTCTGAATTTTATGATGTTACAAAAAATTTGCTCTTTACATATCAATGATTAGAGTTCTTTTTAAAGGGCAAGGCTTAACTACATCATCACAGCAAAATATTGGCTATACAGATGCATAATTCTAAATTTTACCATCTCATAGAAATTCATCAGTCTCAATCTCTTTAATTAAGAAATTAGAAATTTAGAAACTCAAAAATGAGTTTACAAATGGATTGTAATTTTATCAACAGTTTTGAATAATTTTGTAGCTTGGGGATTATGGGAAAATGTTGAAATATCCAGGAGATTTTCAACTTTTTTGCAATATAAAGGTCTAATCATAGTAATGCTTATTGTGTCTCTTTTTCCTGCAACCTCTTCACATACCTGCACTGTATCACCGAAGTACATGGCTGCATTGAAAATAGCATAAGAAAAATGACCTGTGCAATTCAACACTGTAAAGTCATAACTCAACCCTGCCGTACTCTTCAGTTTCCAGTTGGTATAGACTTGTGGATAAAATGAGACTGTCCACATAAAAAAACAGAACCAGCCCACAGCCACACTGAGGTATCCCAATAAAAGGTTGTGAACTACTCTGATTTGTACACGCTGACTAGGAAGTCCCTTCAGTGTTACCTCAGATGACACTGCGGTTTTGAATGACAATGTACAATGACCAGCATGGTATCCAGCATACAGTGGAATCAAGACTGGTTTAGATGAGCCTTTTGGAATATGAATTTTTTTCACAGTCTGAATAAGTGATGGATCATCCAAATGCACCAATATAACAATATCTCTTCCAACTGGTTTCCTAAAATAAGGTCAAATTGATTGATAACTGCATGTTTTATTAAATCAATTTTTGAATAAGGAGATGACAAAAATTGCTATCTATAAACCTTACTTTTAATTATTGTTCAAATGAATACAAATAAAAGTATGCATTCTTTTCAGGATTGTATCAAAATGACAAAACAGAAAAATACACATATTTATTTTAATCAGAGTCTAAAATCTATAAAAATTTTCAGACTTAAACAAGTAAAATGACACAAACAGCAAAACTATATGAAAAATTATTTAAAATGTCACGTATCTATAAATTTATCAATATATTTATCATATACAGATATGAATTTTTTTCCAGTTTATACCAGCACAATGTTCATTATGGTGAAACTACTTGCAACCATCTGATAATGGTATCAGGCCCCAGTTTCACACACACACACACACACACACACACACACACACACACACACACACACACACACACACACAAAAACTTACAAATCAGTTCTCTGGCTTAGTTGACTTGGATCTCAATAAGAGTGCTGTTACACTGCTCCTAATGATCCTAAGATGTGCCCATATGTAACCATCTAACCTTAGTAATTGAGTTCTTGGCCAGGGAACATTTTTTTGTGAAACTACTACAAGTTGATTTGAACAGTCAAATCAAATTGCTTGTGGGCGCTATTTCCATGGTTTCATGTTTTTATCAATTAAATGGTTTGCACCAAGTTGTTTCCCACTGTGCCCCCCCCCCCCAATCTACCACATCCAGAACACCTACCTAAGCTGAACAGTAATAGATTTTGAAGATTCAGTTTCAAATATCAGCGACTTGGATGAAACTTTCAGAGATGAATCTGAAAATTACAAGAGGGTATATTGTATCCAAACTGATGTATATACATTCTTATTTTCTGTTCTTATTGTGTCTTTTTACTAGTACATAATTGAGTATACACCTGATGAATAGTAGGTAGAAGTGTCAGTTATTTTTTAAAAACATACATTCAAGTCTCACAAACACACACAACAAAATCAAATACATGTAAAAAAATAATAATGATTTCTTCAACGTACAACAACAATTTGGGAACAAATACCAAGTAGCACGCACTATGTAGGTATATCACAATCCGCTAGGGGCGCTACAGTCGTAACTATCCAGGGGCAGTGAGGTGTAAAACTGATATCGGCCTGCTGACAGCTCGCCTATGGCACCCCTTTTTTAAATCTCTTTTTTAGCGCCGCGTAAAAAAACTAATACAATCCATTAACTAAATAAGATGTAAATCAAAGAGTAAAATCCGGTCACGTGATTTTCCCATGTTGCAGTCTTTGAGAAATTTCAGTTCAGGGCGTTTGAAGTTTTGCCTCGACAAAATGCTCAAAATTGTCAGTTAAGTACTGGTTGCAACTTTTTGAAATTTATAGCGAATAAAGTTTATGAAATTTGCAAAATTATGTAGAAAAATCATGAAAATTGAGCCATGCGAAGTATAGTTTATTTGATGCGCAATATTTATAGTACATGATCTGTAGGGAAGCCATCCCAGCCATGTTCTTGTGCGGTCACCAATTTGGATTTGTTTCTGGGTCATTAGATTAACATACAGCCCTAATTGGTCACAAGCAATTTGAGCTGCAGCTACAGCTGAGTGATCACCACTGCTCAGTAGTGACAGGTTTTAAGCTGAAGAGTGTGGACACTTTTGGTGAATTTTTGCAGTTAAAAAACTTCAATATCTTCGTTGCTTGTAGGAATATTTAAAAAATTCCAAGTAATTTCATCCGGTTTTTGTATTACCTTTCTGATGATATAAGTATTATAATTTTATGATCAGTTTGAAAATTTTTCTGATATACCTACACTATGCCTCCCAAAATTTTGCCTTGGTTTTCGCAAGGAGTTGGAACTCCTTGGTTTTCGGTAGTGACTTTAATCAATGTCTCTGGTATTTAAATATATCATTTAACAATGTTTATGTTAATGCAATGAAAATGTTGGTGCTTACCATCTACATCGATACCATGGTATCCAGCTGTTTTAACTTTAACGTTATAATCATAAAGCAGGGCTACTACAACGGCACAAAACGCTAATCCACAGAAAAAGCAAACACATGTCTTAGTTTTACTTCGAAGTTCGCAAAGCCCAAATATCCATTTGGTGCCCTGATGTACAGGCGCACCACTTATATCCTGCATCTCCTAAGAATCTTTGTCCAACACTGCGAAATCCTAGGCAAGACGAGACCAACTATATACTCCTGCCACCTATCGTTGCATTTGCATTCGAAGCCATCTTTACCAGATGCAACTAATGACTTTCGTTGAACTAATATAACTTTAAGTCCAACGGACCAAACTGTTTAGAAATGGGCGCTGCATATAGTCGAACAAAAATTGACGAAATTGAAGGTAAGAAAGTCTGTTATCTATGCTGTCTTGATACAGGTGCGCAATGTAAGTTTGTGATTATACAGGCACTAGGATCCCCAACACGTTTTTTTTATGTACAGACACAGATGTGTCTGTACATATTGCCATCACCTGCGTCTGTCGTCGCCGTCGCCGATCATGTCGCCGTCGCCGTCGCCGTGCACTTTCAGCGTTAACACCATAAGTGGAAGACAGTTTTACTTTTTGNTAATACAATCCATTAACTAAATAAGCTGTAAATCAAAGAGTAAAATCCGGTCACGTGATTTTCCCATGTTGCAGTCTTTGAGAAGTTTCAGTTCAGGGCGTTTGAAGTTTTGCCTCGACAAAATGCTCAAAATTGTCAGTTAAGTACTGGTTGCAACTTTTTGAAATTTATAGCGAATAAAGTTTATGAAATTTGCAAAATTATGTAGAAAAATCATGAAAATTGAGCAGTGCGAAGTATAGTTAATTTGATGCGCAATATTTATAGTACATGATCTGTAGGGAAGCCAACCCAGCCATGTTCTTGTGCGGTCGCCAATTTGGATTTGTTTCCGGGTCATTAGATTAACATACAGCCCTAATTGGTCATAAGCAATTTGAGCTGCAGCTACAGCTGAGTGATCACCGCTGCTCAGTAGTGACAGGTTTTAAGCTGAAGAGTGTGGACACTTTTGGTGAATTTTTGCAGTTAAAAAACTTCAATATCTTCGTTGCTTGTAGGAATATTTAAAAAATTCCAAGTGATTTCATCCGGCTTTTGTATTACCTTTCAGATGATATAAGTATTATAATTTTATGATCAGTTTGAAAATTTTTCTGATATACCTACACTATGCCTCCCAAAATTTTGCCTTGGTTTTCGCAAGGAGTTGGAACTCCTTGGTTTTCGGTAGTGACTTTAATCAATGTCTCTGGTATTTAAATATATCATTTAACAATGTTTATGTTAATGCAATGAAAATGTTGGTGCTTACCATCTACATCGATACCATGATATAGGTATCCAGCTGTTTTAACTTTAACGTTATAATCATAAAGCAGGGCTACTACAACGGCACAAAACGCTAATCCACAGAAAAAGCAAACACATGTCTTAGTTTTACTTCGAAGTTCGCAAAGCCCAAATGTCCGTTTGGTGCCCTGATGTACAGGCGCACCACTTATATCCTGCATCTCCTAAGAATCTTTGTCCAACACTGCTAAATCCTAGGCAAGACGAGACCAACTATATACTCCTGCCACCTATCGTTGCATTTGCATTCGAAGCCATCTTTACCAGGCGCAACTAATGACTTTCGTTGAACTAATATAACTTTAAGTCCAACGGACCAAACTGTTTAGAAAAAATGGGCGCTGCATATAGTCGAACAAAAATTGACGAAATTGAAGGTAAGAAAGTCTGTTATCTATGCTGTCTTGATACAGGTGCGCAATGTAAGTTTGTGATTATACAGGCACTAGGATCCCCAACACGTTTTTTTTTCTTATTGAGCTTGACTAAGACACTTGAAATTTGGTACACAGATAGTCACATATCTGACTATGAATAAACCGTTTAAAATTTTTATCAAGTTATTCAAGTTTTAGTGACACCATGTCTGCCATTCTTCTTCAGACGCCACATTCAAAAATGAGTCAAAAGTTGCTAAATTTGATTTTCACCCACTAAACAGTGTCATAGAAAATTGGCAAGCTTGTGAAATAGAATCATTGAAAACAAAAGATAAAATTCTAATTGAAATAAAACCAGACATTGGATAAGCCTGAAACCAAGTACACCTACCGTCAGGGTTTCCACTAGATTTTGCATGTGAGGGTCATTTTGACCCCCACTTTTTAAAAATGGGGGTCATTTTCAAAATTTAGGGGTCAATAATTCATAAGTTTAAAATAACATTGAAATAAATATTAGAAGCAATAAAAACAACAAAAGTCATAAGTGTTATTTATGGGGTACTCTGCCACCAGACCTTCCCTATCAATGACAGACCTTATCATGTGAAAGCTATAGGTGACCAGGGTCATTTAAAGAATGTCACTAATGGAACTTTCTGAATTTTACTGACATTTACAAAATTTACGGACTTTACGAAAGGCCCAAAAAATCTGTCAGACATTCGGTCTGCCAAGTCTGAAAATTCTGTCAGACCGAAACAAAATCTGTCAGACCGAAGTAAAATAATAGAAATATGACAAATTATTTATGTTTTCAGGTGTATTTTTAAACGTTTTTAAGTATCGACATTAAATCTAATATAAATTTATATATATACAGTATATAAAAAAATTAGACAAAAAAAAATCATTTGCATAACAAGTTGCTTTTTATCTAATGAAAAATGCATTGTAGATTGACACAAGGACTAAAAAATACAAGGGTTTCCGTTAGCGCAATATTTGTGCATCCCTGACGCTTTTTTTTATCAAAAATGACCCCCATTTTTAAATGTATTGCGTCCATTTGACGCACATTTATCTCATTTATTCGGTGAGTTTTCAAACTGGCTGGGAATGTGTAAATACAAGGAATACGTTTTTCTTTCTGGACGATATTTTTACTTCATTCGAAGAGACGGGATGAAAATTCCGGGAAGTTCCCAGCTAATTATACATAATTTATTAACCTCAGTTTCACTCACATATACTATTTTGTGACTGGCTGAGATTGGGGATGACGTAATATAGTCTCGTTTTTGTTTCCGTGATACCCTTACACCACAAAATGGCCGCACACATGTGCTCACGCTTTTCGCGTTTTTTACAGACTTGTTCCTCTGTTTCTTCATTATCAGTTGTGCACAGTAGTCATGGCTAAGTGTTTTGCTTAAAAAATGACGTTGTTGAACTTAAAATACTTCGTTGCTGCACAGCGTAGCAAAAATGAAAATGAAGTGAGGAAGAGAAACAGATTGATATTGAAATTGGAAAGAAGGTGGGCCCCGGCGGACTTATAATCTGTCGGGTGTGACTGAAAGGCGCAATACACTGCAATACAGCGCAACACAGCGCAATACACTTGATAACACAAGTCCAGTTGCAAGTAAACACAGGAAAGGGTAATCTCAAATAAAATGGGGTGATATAAAAGCAAAATATAGCATAGTAATTAATATTGCTGATACAACTTGACAATTTTTTCATTGTTTGGTCAGTCGCCATGTTGGCGAGTAGCTCTTCTTGGCCAGTAATATATCCAAGAAGAGCCACTTGCCAACATGGCTGCAAACTGGACAATATAAAAGTCTTGCTGATTTGTTAAGTTATATCAACGATATTACTTACCTAGTAATATAGGTCATTTTTATATCACCCTACTTTGCTGGGAATGGTCATTTTTTTGTGTAATTGCAACTGGATTTGATTTTTGAAGTGTATTGCACTGTGTTGCGCTGTATTGCGGTGTATTGCGCAATTCAGTCACACCGTAATCTGGAGGAGAGGAAAAAGGTGTGTGGAGTTAATATTATTATCAACAGCAACATAAATCTTACTGCTTTATTACGGGTTCTGAAAATTATCGAGCACATGTATGTCTCTTCTTCCCGTCTATCATACACCTGGACCAGTAGTGGTTTCTTTAGACGTATATGGACAGATACAGATGTATGTACCGGTACATGCACCCTACAGTTCACGACCACTAGTTGGAGAAAGTGCACATGAACTCGATGAAGGCTCACAGTTTGAATTTCTTGTTATCAAAAAGAAATAAAATGAAGAAGGAATTTAGACTCAGGGTGGACAGTCCCTATCAAAGTTTCAATTGTATGAAAGCGACCACCTTACTTTGCGGTTTCACAATGCACATGTTATTGCCAAAAACAACGGCTGAACTAGTTTTCTGATTAACAGACGTTTTTATGGACATACGTTTGATATTACTGGCTACACATTCTTCATTGTATTTTTTTAGTCCTTGTGTCAATTTACAATGCATTTTTCATTAAATAAAATAAAACTTGTTATGCAAATAATTTTTGTCTATATTTTTTCTACAAGTTTATATATATATATATATATATATATATATATATATATTAGATTTAATGTCAATGATTAAAAACGTTAAAAAATACGCCTGAAAACATATATAATTTGTCATATTTGTATTACTTTACTTCGGTCTGAGAGATTTTGTTTCAGTCTGACAGAATTTTCAAGCTTGTCAGACGGAATGGGCCTTTGATAAAGTCTGTAAAATTTGTAAATGTCAATAAAATTCAGAAAGTTCCATTAGTGACATTCTTTAAATGACCTACACCTTTCACATGATATGGTCTGTCATTGATAGGGATGGTCTGGTGGCAGAGTACCCCATAAATAACACATGACTTTTGTTGTTTTTATTGCTTGTAATATTTATTTCAATGTTATTTCAAACTTATGAATTCTTGACCCCTAAATTTTGAAAATGACCCCCATTTTTAAAAAGTGGGGGTCAAAATGACCCTTGCACGCAAAATCTAGTGGAAACCCTGATAAACATCCGTCGTTTTTGACTATATTCCGAAACTGCCTCGTTGTCAGAAATATCACCAAAAAGTAAATTTCTTTCTCCTTTGCACTTGTGAAAAATGAGTTTGACTATATTCCAGTCCGATGCTCCTTTTTTATCAGAAATGTCACTAAAAAGTGGAGGTTTTGCCTTGGGACCTTTTTTCCGCAGCAGTCCCAGGTAGGTGTGGCTCAGCTGAGACGCGCATGGTCAGTGTCGACGGTTGAACGTCCACAACAAGTATTTAGCAAAAAGTGACCAAATTGGTCAGACATTATGTAAGAATTTGGCGGGAGTTGACCAGTGCATGTGGACGAATTTATTCCATATAACATCTATAGAGCGTGCCCTGAGTGTCAGAGCAACATAAAAGCTATCTTGTTAAATATACCTTGTGATGGAGTCGCTTTTACTAGCTCTGACGAACAGCGACAATCTGGGGGCGCNCGTTATGACCAATTAAAACCTGCAGTTTGTTAGAAGTTACTGGCGTGTTAGATGTGCTAGGTGAGATTTCTGGTTGTTCTGATTGTGTTTGGAGTTCGAGTGAATTTGTTAGATGTGCCTCTGTATGAGACAACACTGGTTCAGTTTGTAACATTTGTCCTGATTGTATCACATCATCCAGTTGTCCATCATGTTCCAAGGATTGTTCCTGGTCCTCAATTACATTGATGAGAACCGTTTCTGATTGTGTTGGATGTTCCACTGATTGTGTTGGTTGTGCCATGGCTGTCTCATTATCAGTCTGCTTTGCATTTAATTCTCTCAGGGCAGCATCCCCCAAGACATCTAGATTGTAGGACATATCATCAGGATGTACCTCTTCCTGGGCATCTCTAAAATATAAGTTATGGTTTATATATTGTATTTTGCATGAAAAAGATGGAAGTCGACACTAGTATACTGTCATGCTCTTAATCTGCTTCCTGAATTGAATTGAGCCAATACGTTTTCTTTTTATGTGCAGAAACAATGACAGGTTTGTCTTACAGAAAAAAAAATGAATTTTAGACTTTTGCAAGTTGAAACCACAAGGGAGATTGAGATGTATTTTAGTTAAACTTGTCATGAATTTTTTAAACAGAAGATTCATTTTAAAATGTGTCGGTTCTTTACTTTTCATTTACATTGATGTAAGTAATGCAATACAAATACATCAGAAACATTTACAAAATCGTTCCCTTCATCAAAAATTTCTTGTGAAAGAAACCAGAGAACAAGGCTAAGAAATATGGAGACATAAAATGAAAGAAACCAATTCAAGTGACATTAACAAACAATTAAAAACCTCCAATATGAGTGGTAAATAAGAAGAACTCTACCCTTGCCCCTCCTCATCTGTACCATCTTCAGGAATGACCTCCACTGTGACCTCCTCCTCATCCTCGTCTCTCCGTTCTGGTGCCTTCTCCAGAAAATGTTCTGTCAGCTCAATAGACTCGTACCTCACCGTCTGCAGCCGGAAGAAAGAGTCCTCGTGGAGTTTATACCTGAACAGACACATAGATAAACTGTTACTTACACTGTTACTTAATTCAAACAATATTGATAAAATGCATTTCTTAAAATAAATATATATTTTTTGTTGCTGTTGGCAATACATGAATTATTTTTTTTAAGTTTTGAAAATCAACTGTTACAGTATTTAAAATATTCTTTGTTGGATCAAGCACATAAAACAATGACATAACCATTATATAGTAAATACAATAATGTTATATGTTAGTTTCCAAGGAAAAGCTTTACATACATGTACATAATACACTTCAAACATTGAAGACTGCAAGACATGGAGTAATGTTTCAAAGTTTTGAACTGTGGTAAAATGAAAAAAAAATGAGTCAAAAAGTGCTGAAACTTGTGAAAATTATAAAGATCTAGTAGCTGATGGTTTTGACACATGTGAGATATAACTGGCTACCAACCTGAACCTGGTGTGTCCTGAAGGCCACTTGAATTTGTGGTGATTTTTGAGATGGTGTGTCAGTTTTTCTCCACGGGTGTATGTGGTATTACAGATGTGGCACATATACTTGGGTTTGATGCCCATCTGTGGAAAGATTTGATGAATAAAAGATTCATAAACCTTTTTTCAAAAATTTGACATCTCATAAGTGGCAAATGCAATATGTATACTGCTTAGCCACAGGGACAATAAATATTAAACAGAACTTAACCAATGTTCACATAGAGATTCAAATTACAACTTTAAAATTTTATACACTATCAGGCAGGTATTTAGAGGGTTTCAAAAGAACTGCCCTTCTAGCAAGAATAAGTCCAATTTTTCATTTAAAAAAATATCCTTGTCTCTGAAACCGCTTTCTACAGATCTGATCTTACTTATTTCAATCTTTTTTTATGCAAATATCATTATTCTTCACTGCTAACCTATCAAGTTTTGATATGGACTGAATCAGTTTTCAAAAATTTGGTGTAATCTATCACATTCAAAATATTGTCTTCATATTGGGATGATCAAATGTATTTAAATTTCCTAAAAGGACTCTTGAATTAATTTTCAATGAAGAGCAGGGCATATTGTGGGGTTGTAAAAAACAATTCACTTTGAGAAAAATGCCTTAAATGATAGAAAAATTCTTGACTTCAGATGTCACACACACATACCGGGTTAGCTGTGTGTTTCCTGAAGTGTCGAACAAACAGGTTGTAAACCTTGGCGCTGTATTTACAGTTCGGGTAATGACAGTAGAACATCGGTTTCTCGTTGTGGGTCTCTAAGTGTTTCCTTAAGTCTGCAAGGGTTTTACATCTGAAAGATATGATCATCACTTAAACATTTCAACCAGCATTAATTGATTTTATTCTTCTCCTTAATCTTTTCTGCACTTTCTTTACTTTTGGACGTTTTGGCCTTCAGACACTTTTAATCAGAAAAAAAAAATCTACAGATAACAGGAAAAAAATTAAAACCAATGCAGAGTGAGAGCAAGCAGGGAAACATGCTAGGTTTGATTTAAGGTTTATTTGTTTAAAATACAAATTAGGTTTTAACTTATCACATGGCTGGCACTTCCACCAATAGGATAATTGCACAAGTTTTGCTTACAAGGCATGTACATTTCAGTGTGTTCTGAGCAAAATACCAGTGCAATCATCCTACTGAGCCAAGGACCANCCAAGTCCAGAAACCTCCTGCAGGTTGCACAGAACATGGCTGACCAATCGTGCTCCAACAAGGGCCATTTACTTTTCCAGCTTTCAAGAAACTTTCTCACCTTTTCCCCTCCCATTCCTTTTTATTATCTTCATTGGTGCTGTTCGGTCGCTTGCTGGCTTTACCAGGTAGCTGGTTTGTGCTCGGCTGTAACTTCAGCATCGTGTAACACGTGTATCGATTGTGACCCGGTTGAGACCGGATTGCGAGTGGGTGAGAAATGCACACCGATCATTTATAGACGTCAGAATGCGTAGAGTACACGGATACGCAAGTAATATAACGCAACCTTTGTGGTTCAATTTCAACGCTTTTTTAAGTGAAATTAATTTATTTCATTCTTAGTTACATTTAATATGTGTCATAACCAGTTTTCTCTTGTTTACAGAGTATAAGCTTATTTTTAAACCACTTGTCCCGTCGGGCGGGTAACTTTGAAATTTACTTGTCCGATCAGAATTTTTTGTTGTCCCGGACAATCGGGCGGTGCCTTATGCCGAGCCCTGGACCAGCAGTAGAATAAGTCAGTTAAAACCACTACACCTCTATAATTACACTCTTGTAGGACCTGTGTTGTAACTTGTACTTATCCAATTACAAATATAAAAGTCGACTTACTTCCTACTGTTACAAAATGTGCATTTGAAAAGTTTTTACACTAAAAGTCTAATGCCTAAATCATGGTGATTTGTTTAAACTTTTGAAAAAAAATTTCCAGCAAAAAGGTTGTATGATATCAGAAAATTGTAGAAAACACTAACTTGCGTTCACAACCCGTGCATTTATATGGTTTCTCATTTGTGTGACGATAACGAATGTGGTTCCTCAGCGCAGAGGGTGCAGGGCACGTCATGTCACAGAGAGGGCACTTGTAATGGTTGACATGGTTACGCATGTGATCACGCAGAAGCCGCTCTGTGTTGAACCTCTTGTTGCAGTGAGAGCACTGATAGCAATGAGCTGAAAATGAAAGATCAGTTAAGTTTAAAAACGAATACCAATTTATGACACAAAGTGTAGTGTTCTCTTAAACAAAATGTCTGATTCTTTTAATTTTACATATTTACAAGCCTGGAGCATTAAAAAAAAACTTAATAGTCCTCCCCATCCTTCCTATTGAACAAATGGCAAAGGTGAGGAGAGCCAAATGATCGTAATTTTCAATAAAAAAATTTTTGTGACCCTAAAAATAATAAAAAAACACACTGGGTAATACAGAGAAAAACCATTTGCTATGCAAATTAGGAAAGTTAAAAGATAAATTTTCACTTACGATCTGCCTGAGATTGTCTCTTGACATGGTCAAAGAATTTTGTTCGATTTGAGAAAAGTCCGCCACAGGTCGGACAAGCCACCACTTTCTGCTGGGTGTGACTGCGCAGGTGCTCCTTTAGCTTATGTTTACTTTTATAGCTGTGTCCACAACCTGTCAATAAATAAAGGCACCCTGTCATCCTTTGACTGCAACCAGACTCACCATGGCTGGGAAAGTTCTTAAGAAATGCTGAGGACAGTTTATGTCAGCCTCTAACAATGTCACCTTCAAATTTCCCACAAGAAAAAAAATGAATCTTTAAATTGTAAAATTTTGGTGAAAATGACAAATGATAGAGGGACAGAAAGAAAGAGGTGGGGGTAGGGAAACTCACCTTCCCACTCACACCTGCATCCACCAGGCACATTATTGCCCTCAGGATAATCCTCTGCATGGAAGGCAACATGGCGGTAGAAGTACTCTGGGTTATCAGATATTTCCTGTGAATTTGATAAAAGTGGGAGAAATCAATATATGTGGTTACATGAAGGTGTAAGACATGAAGGTGAAACATTTTTACTCCTCATAAAACAGGCAATAAGAACTGCCACTGATTTCTCTTGGATAAAAGTTACTAGGGCGATTCTGTTGACTAAAATAATTTGGAAGACCCATGTAACAGAGTCAATTATAAAGGAGAGCCCAGCTGTCATTGACATTTACAGGTAATAATTATATAAGGTAGTAAGCACTCTTCTAGATTCGGACCCCCTTACATCATGCTGACCCTAATCTGTACGAATCTAATGGGTGACAGACTCTACTGCTGGGAACATCAATTTTGTCCCACAGTCTCACCTCACATTCTTTCTGCCCACACTTACATCATGCTAACCCTAACCTGTACAGATCTAATAGGTGACAGGCTCTATTACTCGGACCCTCCAGTTTTGTCCCACAGTCTCACCTCACACTCTTTCCACCCACACTGCAGCCTCTCTGGCAGCTCAGGAATCATGTTTCTGGTCGCAGAATCCAGCATGCATCCCTGCTTGCTCTCACTCTGCAGAAGCATGGTCATCCCAAAACACTTGATCTTCACATGGAAGCAGTGGAAGTAGGTATGGCGAAGGTAATCAAAGTGGTCCCTCTCCGCCAAATAGCCACACTCTCGCCACTTGCACTTGCTGGGTTTGTACACATCGAGGACTGGTGCTGGAAATATGATAAAAAGTTTTTTAGAAGTCTTTCTCCACAACATAGCCTCGCTCTAGCCATTTGCACTTACCGGGTTTGTACACATCCAAGGACTGGTGCTGGAAATATGATAAAGAGGTTTTTTAGAAGTCTTTCTCCACAACATAGCCTCGCTCTAGCCATTTGCACTTACCGGGTTTGTACACATCCAAGGACTGGTGCTGGAAATATGATAAAGAGGTTTTAGAAGAGAGTCCCTCTCTGAAACAAAGCCTCACTCTTGCCCCTTTCTCCTAGTGGGTGGTAGACTCACACTTCAAGAAATCAATGTAAAATGGCTAATTTTCACATTTGAATGAACAATGTAGAAAAAATATGTAAGCTAAATCTCCAATTTTGCACATCAAGTGAAGAATAATTATCTTCATAATTAACTCTTCTAAATCTATACATCCCCTTAAGTACCAAGCAAAAGGCCGTTCTCATCTATCTGAAGGGTTTCCCAGATAATAGTATCCATTAAGTTTCCCATATGACTCCAGCATAATCAGTTGAAATGGAAAACATGCATAGGAGCTGGAGTGTATGCCACTGCCTGCCCCCTACCTTGTCCTGCCTGAGATCTCTCCGCTATGAACTCATGGTTCAAATGGTCCAGGACATGCTTGAGAAAGTCATCCATGTTGTCAAACACGTCCTCGCAGGTGCCCCACTCACAGGAGAGAGTAAGAGGGTCGTTCTTATGGGGAGGCTGAATCTGGCGTTTTAGTTTCTTCTTTGGGGGCATGGTCTGAAATTGTGGAAATATGTTGGCATTATAAACTTACCTAATGATTATTTATGATTGCTTTAAATCACAGGAATTAATTTGCAACCTTTTATAACCTGTTTTAGCAATGTTCATCATACAAGAGTTTTGGGTACTTGCATAGTACAGTATATTCTTAGTCTTTGATTCACCTTGCCTCAGTTTTCGGTCTTACATGCTCACGAAGACTGAGGCAAACTTGAACCGCCATATTCAACTCGCTTAGTCCATAAAATGGACTCCCTTTCAAGTTTTATTGAATAATAGCGGTTCATTAGACTGCCATTTTTCCTCTTACCTTTGTAAAAAAACAGCGAGCAACACCTGCTTTATTGTTTTACGCCTTTTCTGCGTAAAAGACAAGTAGCCACTCTTTCTTATGACTGGAGGCTCGAAATTGCGGAAATCGAATGCGGCGGGACATCAGCCCCGCACTTAATGCAGGTGTCGTGATCAGAAGTTTTAAAAAAGTTAAAGCTGACATTTTTGGTGCTGTTTTTACTCATGAGTTATTTTCGTAAATATATACTTCGAAAAAAATGATCGTACGNGATATGGACTTGGTGTTTTCAGATTTGTATGGCAGAGAACATGGCTCTAACAAGCAGGTGGCCTCCAAGTCCTGTGCCCTGTCTCTAGTAAGACAGATGTACCATCTGAAGGTGATAGAGCCCTACACAGGACAGACCAAGAAGAAGGAGGGGGACCAGGTACGCGAATGAACATTTTCAAGATTATGCCTGATTTCAATATTTTCAGTCTTCATTTTGATAATTCTTTTCTTATGGTCATATGTTTTTTTTTTTACATATGAAAAATTTCCAGCTATGTTTTCAGTATTTTCAGTGTTTACAACTTACTTACACGTGCATGATAAGCAAAGTCAAATGTTGAAAAGGTTTCAACAAGATAGTAATTTGCATCTCCTCCAGTTTATCCATTGTTAATTATGACAAACTTGAATAAGTTTTTAAAATCCTACTTGAACTGATTGACCATGTAATCAAAATGGTCATCTGAATAACTGATGGTTAAGGGCTCACTCCCATTGAAACTATTGTTTTATAAAGATCAATTCAACTCCACAGAAACTCTTGCTGAATACAATCAGATTTGCAGATTAATTGCCTCCTCTGGTTTCCAACATACTCTGTTTTTATGTACTCATGTATATCTGTTGGTTTGATTGCATTTAACAAGAGTCTCCTCAGGGCTGGATCTACCTACATAGAATGATAGTTTCATTTGGAATCAGCCCTAAGATTACTAATCTCTGGTGTGAAGAAAAAATTTTTTTAACCAATCAGGTATATATTAGGGATTTTGAAGGTAAAGAACTTTAATTTGTAACTTAAAGCAATTGGTAAACATTTTGAAACATGTCATTATTATTTTTAAATTAATTCTGCTAATACATATATATGTATGCTATTATTTAAAGATTCCACCCTACAATGTGGCAATTTCCCCTGAAGTTGAACAACAGCTCACATCTTTGTTAGAGGCATTGCAGATCCAGGTTGTTTCTGAGGTGAGATCATCTCTCTCTCTCTCTCTCTCTCATTCTCTCTCACACACGCACACGCACACACACACACACACACACTCTCAAAAATGTGTTTGCTGACAGGTACTTTTAGTTACAATAAAAGTTTAGTATTAAGGATATTGTCACCCCTTGCCCCAAACTCTTTATTTAATGCCTTACATGCATTGTTTTGGGTAATAGATAAATCTTCAGTGTTCAGTGACAAAATTTATTAACATTTAGACATATGTCATCTTACAGGTGACATCATCATTGCAATTTTGGGATAAAAACTGATAAATTGGTTTTGTGATAAAATCTTGTTCAGGGATGAAGTTCTGCCCCATACCAATTCTTATCACACCTCAAATAGAAAGGTGTTCAATTGATGGTTAATGTTTTGAGTTGCCTAAGCTTGTACTTTGCAATTAGAAATATAAAGCACACTATTTTATATTTTCGCATTTTTTATTGTTTTAAATCAGTACAAAGATAGATGCATTATTAAATAAAAAGATGCAGGAAAACCCTCATTTTTGGTGTTTGGTTGATAATAAAGGGTTACAATGTCCTTAAGTAACCTCTATAGGACCGTATTTTAGCCCCAGGATCCCGCCCAGCCTGTCAGCCTGATTGTGAACCAGAAACTAGAGGAATTTGAAGACTCCAGGAAGAGTATGGAGGGCATAGTGTCCTGGTCTCCCCCTCAGCAGAACTGGAACCCATGGACAGCATGTAATATAGACGAGGGTCCACTGGCCTTTGTGAGTGTTTTCTTCTTACGAGACAGTTTTCTTTCACAAGCATTTAGTTGTGTTTTTTTAAGGCTTTTAAGATTGTCTAGAAGACCAGAGTTTGCTTTGTGAATTGTAGTTAAAAACAATCATAAAATATAGACAGTCTATGAGCAAAGCATTCATTTTTATAGGCCACAATGGAGCAAATAGGATCTGATTTACTGAGTGGTATGGAGCAGCAGAGGAAAATGGATCAAGGTCTCCAGGAGGTTTGTCTGTCTGTTTGTATTTTCCTTAATTTAACCCATGTCATATGGAACTTGTATTCATGGGTAACATGCATTTATGACGGATACAGGATCGAGCCATTTGTTCTCCATGTAAAAGCTCATAACTAAGCATGTGATTCACCTTTATAGCAATCCAAGTCAGAATTTTGAACGCATTTTGAGTGCTTGAATGGCTACTTGTTGAATTTTCTGTGGACAATTAAAGCTTTTAAAAGAAAAGCTGACAGATACATGGCCTAAATCAATATTGCAAGAAATAATCATATTCATCATCCCTTAGAGTCGGTTTTCAGCCATTTCGTGACAGTATAAAAATAGCACAAATCTCAAATATCCAGAAATCGAGTAATTGAATGAATGGTGTATTTGAAAAACCTGTGTTTTAGCATAGGTTTTGATCTTTTTCTTTTACCTTAATTGTAACAGAGTCACAGGGAGCATCAAAAATGTAATAATAAATGTTATTTACTCGGTAAAATTAGTTAAACACAAGATTTTTGTGGGAAAATCTTGGCTTGGAAGACTTCAGTTATAAATCATATAACTTTTACATAATGGTACAACATAAATGTACTGAAATTCAATGAACAGCAACCCACTTCATTGTCAATGCACATTGCTACTCTGAATAAATGCATATTGTGATTTTATAAATTTAAATGATCTAATCTTCTTTTGTCCAGATGATGAGAGAGAGAGGAGAACTACCTGTCCATTCATACAAGGAGGAAATATTAAGAACAATTCATCATAGTCCTGTGACTTTAATAAGAGGAGCCACTGGATGTGGTAAGACCACCCAGGTAAGAGATAATGATGTAGTAGATAGAGAGGGGTTGAAGGTGTCAACAGACACTTAATTTAACCATTTCGCCTGTTTAAAGTAGTCTAGATTAATGACTGCCGCACTTGAGGTTTTTTTAAAATTGTTAACCCAAGACAGGTGTAACTTTAATACATTGATTATAAGAAATAACTGATTGAATAAAGCAAATATTAAATGCACCAATTTATCATCAATTCAGGTGAATTTTTATTTTCTTTTGGCTGATTTAAAAATCATGCATAGCAGATACCTTATTAAACAAAATTTGATATTTTGTTCATTTTGTCCCATAATGAAATTTCCTTTGCTAATATGTTTNCGTAAAAGCTATCTTGTTAAATATACCTTGTGATGGAGTCGCTTTTACTAGCTCTGACGAACAGCGACAATCTGGGGGCGTTCCTCTTCAAAATTTTGCCTGGGGCGCTTCCATATTTGGAAGTCACACGTCACAGCTGTGTCAGCCTGGATCCATATTTGGCAGTCATAAGTCTCCTACGTCACAGGTTTGGCCACCTGGAGCTGCCTTTCCCGCCTTGTGCTGAGGTATCTCGTGCAGACGAGACAAGAAGCAATTAAAGTGCCTGACGCGGAGTTAGAAGTTCGAATTGAAAATATCTTGCAGTCGAAGGTCAGTGCCACAATACAAGCAACATTCTGCTTTAAAAACTGATTTTCGTGTAGCCATTGCGCATCCATTATAGTGGTATCGGGCATACAGTGTAGCTGTCAAATTTGGCACACGGCAAGCACGTGTATTGTGCATGTGTATATCTCAGGACTAAATGTTCTTTGATAAGCAAAAAATACAAAAACATACCATACCATACCGAAGGAATTATGGGAAAAATTTCTAAAGACAGCTAATCAAAAGTCATATGTGGAGATTTCAAATATGCCCATGGATTTGACCTTTGACCTTTATTTGAAGGTGAAACGGGCCAAAATTTTCAAAAAAAGGTAATTTTTTATGAAAAAAAAAATATTTGCGCTGATTTTCAGAAAATACACAAACCTAACCTATAATATTTTTGGCAGGTGTTACCCTTCACGTCATCTTTCATCTCCCTGAGTTTGGGGTAAATCGGTGCATTTTCACAGGAGCAGCAGCCATTAGATGCCGAAACAGAAAACTCTCTAATTCTAGAACTATTATTGCTAGAGACCTCTTGTTTTTTGCATTTGATAGACAGCATGTCAAGCCTAACACTGAAGGTGGTCTTCATTTTTTTGTTTTCCATATGGTTTACGTGTTATGCTATATCAAAAAGTACATTGTGGTGGTGAAAGTAAAATGTGCAATACGCATAAATGCATATAATTTTGTATATCTGGAAAAGATAGCATAAGGCTTGGCGAGGCAGACAACTTCTGGTCAAAAATGACATTATTTCATGAAATTTGAATATCTGTAACTTCTGAGCACCTCCCATTGCAATAATTTCAGCCAAAATGACCTTTTCTTTATTTCAATTAATTGCTTCTGTAAGTAATTTATGGCACATTATTGTAACTCCAAAATTATAACATTAAGTCCCTTATATCTCCAAAACTGGCAGAGATAGGTCCATAGTTACTATTGAAGTTGAATAGGAAGTCATATACTGGCAATTTATCTGTGACCTTAAAAATGACCTTTGGCCTACTTTTCACCATGAACTGAACTTTGCAACTTTTTCAGTGCTTATACTTTCAAAACTTTCAAATATATGCCCATAATTACTATTAGATTTGAATAGAAAGTCATATATTGACCTACTTTTCACCATGAACCGCACATGCTTTGAAGAACTGCTTTGAAGCAGAATTGCAAGTTTTCCTTTATATCTCCAAGACTGGCTGAGATGCACCCATAGTTACTATTAAACTTGTATATAAAGTCATATACTGGCAATCTAAGTGTGACCGTAAAACTAACCTTTGACCTTTTTATCATGAAATGAACATTGCAAATTTTCCTTCCTTTTTATCTCCAAAAATGGCAGAGATCGGTCCATAGTTACTATCGAAGTTGAATAGGAAGTCATATACTTATAATCTAACTGCAACCTTGAAATTGACCTTTGACCTACTTTCATGATAAACTGCACTTTGCAAATTTTCTGATCTTTAATATATCTCAAAAACTGGCAAAGATACGACCATAGCTACTATTGAACTTGAATAGGAAGTTGTATACTGGCAATCTGTGACCTTGAAATTGATCTTTTGACCTAATTTTCACCATGAACTGAAGTTTGCATATTTACAATGATTTTACAACAGTGACTGAAATTGAATACACATTTTCATAGTTTTGTAATTATGTAATAGTACGCATGCATCTGAGACTTTGAAGCAGAATACGCTATTCAACAGTAATTGATGATGAGAACGTTTAATATTTAAGGAAAGACAGTGGTGGTTCATGCAGTCACGTTCAAATGAGTTGTTTTGCATAATCGTCAATTACACCGCATTGAGCTATTGTTCGGAACTGTAGTTTCCGAGAATCGAATGTTAAAAAAGTACTCTGTCGGACTACATAAAAAAACATACTCACAGCTGCCTTTCTTTAAAATGTTTTTTCTTATTGTGTATAACTGTTACAGTGGTATTTGTGTTCTTTTGTATTACAGAAGATCTTTGGACAGATGAGTTAATCATGAAACCACCTGGTTTGAACATCAAACGCTTATTGCCAATTGGAGGCCTTGTGCAGCAAAAGCAATCTATGCAGAATAGGTGCAGGTTCTTAGAAGCAGATTACTTAGAATGTTTGGATAATGTTGGTCTAAGCCGTGGGGAAAAAGAATGTAGAGATTTTTTAATGGATTTAAAGGAGTGTGCGTACCACTACACGCAGGTAATATGTGCTAACATTTACTGTACTTCATGAAATGAAAGTCATACAATAAGCATGAGTCTTGAATATGGCAAAAATAATCTTCCCAGGCATATCCTGGTCTGATCCTGAGGCTAGGGCCCTGTGCAGAACTGTCAATCAAAATAGCAGCACAGTTACAAGTCAGTGCATTTTCACAGGAGTAGCAGCCATAAGATACCGAAACTGAAAACTGTCTCTAATTTGGGAACCGTTAGTGCTAGAGACCTATTATTTTTGGATTTTGTAGAGCATGTCAAGCCCAATACTGAAGGTGGTCTCTGTTTTTTTTATTTCCATACGGTTTTCGAGTTATGCTGTATTGAAAAGTACATTGTGGTGGTGAAAGCAAAATGTGCAATACGGTAATGTGTAATAAATTTTGAACTCCTGGAAAATAAAACATAAGGCTTGGCGAGGCAGACAACTTTGGTCAAAAATGACATTATTTCATAAAATTTGAACATCTGGAACTTCTGAGCACCTCCCATTTCAAGAATTTCAACCAAAGTGACCTTTTCTTTATTTCAATTAAAGCAATAATAACTCTTTGTTTCGGCCAAAAAATGAATTTTCCTGGAGTAAACAATAATTTTCCCATACTTACCAATGGTTAATAATTCCATTTTTACATTCAAAGTTAGTCCCTGGTTTTTTTCTAAAAAGTTTGGTTTTTTGTTAAAATCTCTTAAGAGATTTTAACAGAGTATAGCCATCAATGGAGGTCACGTGGTCTAAAGACAAGTTCAGATATCAGAATAAAAGCTATAACTGCTGTTTTTGTGGTAAAACAGAATAAATTATATTTCTATGAGTTATTCACAAGGTTTTTATTGTGAAATATAGATCTCATACGAAGAGTTATTATCCCTTTAATTATTTTTTTGTAGGAAACTGGCAGAGATAGGTCCATAGTTACTATTGAAGTTGAATAGGAAGTCAATTCCACTGTGACCTTAAAATTGACCTTTGACCTACTTTTCAGCATAAACTGCACTTTGCAAATTTTCCGATCTTTATATCTCAAAAACTGGCAAAGATACACCAGTAGTTACTATTGAACATGAATAGGAAGTCATATACTGGCAATCTTACTGTGACCCTGAAATTAACCTTTGACCTAATTTACACCATGAACTGATTTTTGCAAATTTTCTATCCCTTATATCTCAAAAGCCTGCAGAGGTACACCCAAAGTTGCTGTTGAACTTGAATACCCTGGCTATCTAACTGTGACCTTGAATTTCACCTTTGACCTACTTTTTATGATGAACTGCTTTTTGCATGTTGTCTGGCCTTTAAATCTCCAAAATTGGCAAAGAAATACCCATGGTTACTATTGAACTTGATGCAACCCTGACAACACATTTCAAGGAAAACCAAAAAGAAAATATAGGTCAATTCCAAAATCTGCTTGATTGTACCATTTTTAGTCATATTTTTTTTTGCATATTTTTTGGAACTTTTGTTGATTGCATTTTATAGAGCTTGTCAAGCACAAGACTGGTGGTGGTGTCCCCTTTTTTTTTGGGGGGGGGGTTCCATTCGAATGCCCTTACTCCAGCTGGTGGTACAATATCCAGAGGCAGTATCGCCTCTCTGATCTCTAGTTTTACTATACGTTTGAGTTGTTTGGGAGAATCCAATTCAGAGTCCAAGCGTGGATATTCTATATCAGATCAAATCAATAAAGTAAGTTCCAGTAGACTATGCGTTTGCTTTAAATTAATAAAAAGTTGTACAAACAATGTATGAAATCCCAGAATTTCGCAAGGAGGCTAGAAAATGCTAGTTAGGGCAAAAGATATTTTAAAAGTATCAATTCATGACCAACTTTTTTTGCGCTGGAGCTTGTCATGCAGTGGCAAAAAGCACTGACAACTGGGCCAGGACTTGTTATTTTAAATGCTCTGTCATACAATAGTATGGACATTGTGACTGACATGTTGACATTATACATCAGACATTTTCAATTTATACCAGATTTGTCCGGCTGTCTGACGTTTTTTCAGGAACACTGGTCTTCCTGTGGCCTTGAATTTGACCCCTAACCTTTTTGCCATGAACTGCACTTCACAAATTTGGATTTCGACCTTTTACTCTTCCCCATGATTTTGTTATAAATTGTAGTTTTTTGACAAAAAAAAAAAAAAAAAAGAAAAGAAAAGAAAAAAAAATAAAGCACTCTTGTTCATATTTTGTTAATACAGCTAGATTAAAAGTTTGAATAGCAGCTTTATTAGAATATTTTTGTTGTTTTCTTTTTTAAATTTTCAAACACGTGTCATTTACAACATGTAACTTTTCACTCCCATCCACCTGCAGCTCTGTAAAAGTAACATTTTTTGTATTTCCACATAAGTAGTAGTATTGGTTTTTATGCCATTAAGCATTTTGTAACATTATTTTATGCACTGTCATCATTTTTCACATATTGAGATTTTCATTATGTTAATTTGAACTCACATGGTCCAGAAAATATATTCTTGGTGTCCAGGTTACCTGTTGTGCATGATTAAAATTAAGTTTTGATTGACTGTGCCAATATAAGCATTATTTATTATTGCATCAAAATTGACAAAATGACCAGTTGTCTGCATCTTTATTACCTCCTTTTTAAAATTTTGTCTGTACATTTGACAGCTTAACTGCCTTGTTTGTATCAGCTAGGTAGAATGTATTTGAGTATAATGATTATAATGTTTGTTTACTATAGAATGTATTTGAGTATGATGATTATCATGTTTGTTCACTATTTGATGTTGAGTTTTATCTTTCTATTCAGAAAGCGAGGCTTAAGGAAATTAATCAAAGAAAAGCTGAGCTTTATAGTGACAAGGAAGCCCGAGAAAAGCATAGACAAGAATGGATTGAAAAAGAAAGGAAAAGAGATGAAGAATGTGCCAAATCATGGCAATAACTATAGGATTAAACATGCTTTTGCAACATTTGCCACTTTAAATAGCAACCATAAAGAAACTTTGATTGAAGAATATGTAAAGGTGAATTTCGGTTTGCAATTAATGTTAAGTAAATTGAAATGTTTGTGAAAACCTCTATCATTTTGTCACTTGATGCATTGCATTGGATTGCACTTTTTTTTAGAAACAAAATTTAACTAGATAAAACACTGTTGATTGTAAATAAATAAACCAAAACAACAGGATTATGAGTGTGAAATATATTTGATTAAAAAAGCTTCAAAACTGTTTTAATGTACATACATAATAAATTATTATGTCAATTTTGACACAATTTTACTTGATGCTTAACAGCAAAAGCAACACCAAATTTCACTATAGGTAACACCAACATTAAGAATGTGTAAATGGCATAATAGGGCTTCAGACCCATGAGATTTCACATTCACTCACTGAAAATCTCAATGTTTAAAATGAACATTCAAAAATAAAAATTATATATATATTTATAACAGACAATTTTGTTTCCAAATATTGCTGTATTTTAAACTTTTTAATTCCTAGTTGAAAATGACGCTAAAACAGCGCTTTAATCTGGGACACATAGATACCAGTCTGTTTTGCAGCTGTACATTATGGAAAAGAAAGCTCTCAGAAAAGTATTGTCATGTTTTTTTGTCATCTCGGGGATCAATACTGCACAGACACTAGAGAAAAACAAAAATTGCTCTTCCTTGCAAATTTTGATGGGTGAAGAAAAGGGTTGCACAATCATTCCAAGTAAAAAGCATGCTCACAAGATTGGTGCTATGTTGCCCACGTCCCAATGTTGTTACCCAGTATTGTGGACGTGCAGATATAATTGTTTAACAAAAACAAAGTATGAATGTATTTATATCTATATTTATTTTATTGAAAGAAAAGTTGAAAAGCAATCACCCTGGTCCTGAAATAGGCTATATGGCATAATTTTCACATGAATATCCAATCCTCCATCTTTATGTTCTTTATTTGTATTCATTCTGCAACAATTTGATCCAGAAACTTAAACAGATGCTCACTTCCTGAAACCATCAGTCTCTTCATAATTGAAAATGTAAAAACTGTTCTCCTTTGTATGTCCATATTACCTATCGCTACAAGTAATATGAAAGGCATTTGTCAGTGTGTTTTATACACTTACTGTCCTGTCGTGGTGATAAAAAATTATTTTCACTGAACTGGATTATCTAATGTTCTTCTAAAATTAAGTAGACTAGTAGATCAATATATTGCACATGATTGCTTTTCAAGTAAAACCCTTCAAAATGAGATCAAAGTCACAATTTTATCAACTTGTATCGTTGCTTAAGAAGATACTTACAAAGCCAGTAGCAATATGAAACTAGTTAACTCTAACACAATCATATTTGTGAGACATTCTATCAGTAAGAATTCTTTTTTTGTACGGTGTTGTACTGTATTGTCTAATTACCCAGGAAAACAAGCACCCTGGATTTGGTCTTTCACGAAAAAAACTTTTTTTTGCTCGTTTTTTGCATACATTATGAATTAAATTCATGCCTTCCCATGGTTTTAGTTCACACCAACATTCTTAATCACCGATATGTTACAAGTATACTTCCTGATGAAGTATTCTGTAATAGTTAGACTTACCAACAGAAGATGCCTCTACAAACAAAATTTGATCCCAATAATGAAAAATTGACAATCTTTGATAATAGATATAAACAGACTGATTTCACTTACAACAAACAATAAAATTAGTTTGAGTAGTTTCAGGACAAAGTCAGTTAAATATTTTGACAGTTCTGCATGTTACCACAAATCTAACTAACACGGGTTGGCTGCCATCAGACAAATGTTGCCTCAAATCTGGACAGATGTATTGGCCAGCTAACCTATTCCAAGCTCAACAGTTCCACCTCAAAGATTAGAGTTGCATTAGGTGGGATAGTGAAAATAGTTAAGGCGTATAAAATTGTACATGCAATTTCATCCTACAGAAAAACCTTTAAAATGTCAATCACACTTAAGCAAAATGACTTTTTTGTAACAAATGAGCATATCCAGTTTGAAATCTTGAACAAAGTGATCAATTTTAACACTTGAAGCTTTCAAATTGTTACATCTTTGAAAAAAATGTAACAGTAACATAAAGAAAAGCAATAAAGTGAAAACATGCCCAACAAGTATTTTTATATAACTGTGTGCAGCTGCAAAAGTTAAAATGCACAAACACTTCTCTAAAATACAAACTTTCTAAGTGAAAAAACTAATCGTATTTGCTGAATACTGAAAATACAGAATGAATGAAAAAAGGATATACTCCAGGGTATCCCTTTGCTCCATAGGCATAATCAGGACTACATGTCAGTTTTGCTTTCTCACCTAAAGACATCTGGAAAGACAAAATACTTAAATTTCCAAACCAAAAAGGCAAACATGTGCAGCCATTAAACTTAAAAACAACAAAGGCAGCTGGCACTTGCAACGATATATGCCCCCTGTGACTTAATGGTGGACACCCCAAGGTGGTAAACAGAAAAACAGGTAAATTACTATACAGAAAATTACAAAATCCCCATATATAATGACACAAAAAAAAAAAAAAAAAAAAAAAAAAAAAAATTAAAATTCAAAAAATTAAAAAAAAAAAAAAAAAAAAAAAAAAACTGGG